AACCAATCGTCAAATTGTAGTCATTTTTCACACAAAAACTATTAAAAAAAAACTATAAATAATTTCAATTAATTAAAAAACAAATTATTTAAACATTCATTTCATTTATATTTATAACTTTAAATTAATATAAATTGTTTAATAAAACGATTTCTCACAACAATGTGTGGAAACGGATGCAAAAAATGCTAATTAATGATAGAAATGTATAAAACATTTACGTGATTAATAATGTGAGAAAATGTGTGAAAATAGTGTTATTCTGAAAATAACTGTTTAGTCAGTGAAAGCCTGTATTAAAGTGTGAATTAATCTTATAATTATTGATTGCACCCAAATATAAGGTGTAAAGTTATAGGTATAAAGTTGTAGTCAATGCATTGAGTTTACATAGAGTGTTAGTTGAAATTATGAAATTGCAGGTTACTAATTATTATTACAATTATAATATAATTTACGAATCAATAAATGATTTGCATTTACTTTAGATAACAATAAATATAAAACAACAGTAAAATACTATTAGAATTAACTAGTATTTCATAATTATTATCTATATAGATACCAAATATAATGTTAGAAAAATTATTTAAAACTTTAACGAGTTTTTACATAATAATTATGATCACAATTTGTGATTCACAAAACACCAAAATTGTTATAAAAATATATTTTCCAAAAAATAGTCATTTATTTTACAAAATGTGATAAATATTTAATTTTTTTAATTTAATTTTATAAATTAATATTTTGAAAAAAATATTTGAATTGTTATAAAAACATAATTAATGAACATTTGAAACATTTATGAAAACTTATACAAAATAGAAATAAAATGAATTACAATAGGATAGAGATTACAGGGGATTAATAATAATTACAAAACAGTTATAATTTAAAAACATTAAATGTTACAACAATTAAGTGATTTCACGGAAGTGTGATTGAGATAATTTTAGGACACATTTTCAACATTTTCTCGACAGTCGTTGAATTGTAATCATTGCCACCAAAGAGAGAAATGTTCTGTATTTGTGGTAATAATGACAATGAATTCAACACATTATCAGACAAACTATCCATAATTATACAGCTTATAGACTGAAGATTAGGGTAATTTTGATGTATATTATTGAAAAACAATTTATTTGTAGTTATTAGCGATAAATGTGTTAATTGTTTGCATTCAATCAATTCATTACTTTTCAGTACATAGTCTGAGTTAAGCCAATCTTTAATTTCCAAACGTTTTAATTGTTTAAAGTATTGATTGATTGATGCAAACAATTGATCACATATTTTCATTCGGTGTGAATTGACCTGAAAAACCAGTTTCCGGACTTTTAAACAATTAATGCCCATTTGTTTCAATTGAATGGCAGTTAAACAACAATTTATTTCAATTAATTTACTAAATTGTGACAAACCATTGGTTAGTTCAGTGAAATACTCATTATTACTGATATAAATTGATAATTCAATTGATTTCAAACAATTTTTGTAATTTTCCACAAATTGTTTAAATAAATCAATGTTTTTCTCGTTATAACCAAAGAAAACATTCCGTAATTTCCCAAATGTGGGAACATTTTCATCGGTTTTCCACAAATCAATGCTCGGAACTAATCCATAAATATATCCAACAAAATGTAATTTCTCCACATTTGTGCAAAACTTTACATTTCTTTGCCAAATATCTATATTTCTGGACCAAACGTTTACACGAATTGATTTCAATTGTTTAGCAAACTTTACGAAAAATTTTTGTATTGTTTTGACGTTTAGCTTATAATGGGTTTCGATATCGATATGACGTAATCGATGGCAATGTCTTGTAATTGCATTAAACATCCGATCGTTTCCAGCGAAACATATTTGTGTAATATTTGGCAACTTTTTGATCATAAAATTAAATCTCTTGACTTTAATCGGCCGCACAATTCCGTTAAAGATAAGCTCTGTTTGTGTCTCGTATATCAATCTCTGCCACTGTTTGCACACCTCTTCGTATCGGAACCGCTCCTCAATTGACAGATAGGATAATACGAGTCCACACAAGTCATCACCAAATCTGTCGAAAGAGTCTTTCGCTCTTAAATCAAATGTTTGACTTATAATTGTGTCACACATTAAGAAACGAGTTGTTTGTCTATCCATTTGTCAATCACTTCTTGAGTCCATTTGTGGATCAGTTCTTGTGTCCATTTATTGTCCAATTTTTGTTTAAAAAAAGTCTATGAAATGAATCACAAAATAAATAAACACATGATTTGATGTAAGCATTGATTGCATTCATAATTACCAAACATTTCAAACCAATCGTCAAATTGTAGTCATTTTTGACACAAAGACTATAAATAATTTCAAATAATTACAAAATCAAAATCACATTATTTAAACATTTATTTCATTCATTATTTATAAATTTAAATTAATATAAATTGTTTAATAAAACCATTTCTCACAACAATGTGTGGAAACGAATGCAAAAAATGTAAATTAATGACAGAAATGTATAAAAACTTTACGTCTTTAATAATATGAGAAAATATGTGAAAAGTATTAACCTTTTATACAGAAAGCCTGTATTAAAGTGTGAATTAATGTTATAATTTATTACCTTGAACCAGCATTGATTGCACCTACACCTTTACTCAATGCATTAAATTTACACAGTTTTAATTGAAATTATGAATTGCAGGTTACTAATTATTACAGTTATAAATTATAAACCAATAAATGATTAATATATTTGCATTTACATTAAATGACAATAAAATTAATATAACAGCTAAATACTATTTAATTCAACTATTATTTAATAATTATAACCGAATATAATGTTAGAAAAATTAAATTCTCAATTATGTTTTACAAAATAATCATGATCATTGATCACACAACACCAAAAATTATTATAAAAATTTTTCAACAAATAGTCATTTATTTTACAAAATGTGACAAATATTTATTATAAATTGTTTTACAGATTAAAGTTTTACAAAAAAATGTCTGAATTCTTATACAAATCTAATTAATCAACATTTGAAAAATTTATGAAAACTTATACAAAATAGAAATATAATGAAACATTTACTTTAGACTACAATGGATTAATAATAATTGCAAATTAGATGTATTATAATTGTATTTTGAAAACATTAAATATTAAAACAATTAAATAATTTCACGAAAGTTTTATTGAGATAATTTTGGGACATATTTTCAACATTTTCTCGACAGTCGTTGGATTGTAATCATTGACACCAAAGAGAGAAATGGTCTGTATTTGTGGTAATAATGACAACGAATTCAACACATTATCACTTACTTTATCTATAACTGTACACTTAATTGTAGTTTAGGATAGTTTTGATGGATATTATGAAAAAACCAGTGATTGGTTTGTATACGAGATAAATGTGTTAATAGATTGCATTCAATCAAAGCATCGCTTTTCATAACAAAGTCTGGGTTATAAAAGCCATCGATTTTTAAACGTTTTAATTGTTTAAAGTATTGATTAATTGTCGCAAACAATTGATCGCACATTTCGTTTGCATTGAAATCGATGTAAAGATAAAGTTTGCGGACTTTTAAACAATTAATACCTATTTGTGTCAAATGAACGAGTTTTAAGGAGAAGTATTTATTATTACAATATGATCCTTCGTTGAGAAGGCATTTATATTCAATTAATTCACTCATTTGTGACAAACCGTCCGATAGTTTATTGAATGATAATTCATCACAACTCTCATCGGTAACTAATAACTCAATTGATTTCAAGGACTTTCCATAGTTTTGCACAAATTGTTTTACTAAATCCATGTCATTGTAATAATTGAGGAAAACTTTGCGTAACTTTCCATATATAGGAACATTTGCATCGGTTTGGGACAAGCATTTCCACATTTCAATGTATTTTATAAGATAACTATAGTGACAAATGTGTAATTCCTCGAGATTTGTACATAATATTAGGTTTGTTTCAAACGCATCCCAAACAGAGAGGAGTTTTGGCCAAATCTCTACATAAATTGATTTCAATTGTTTGGCAAACTTTGCAAAAAATCTTGCAATTGTTTTGACGTTTAACTTATATCTGGTGTTGATATGAATATGACGTAATCGATGGCAATGTCTTGTGATTGTGTCCAACATATCATTATTGCCTTCAAATTGTATTTTTGTAATATTTGGCAACTTTTTGACAATAAATTTCAATCTTTTTACTTTTATTTGAACCGCAATTTCGTATTCAAAGCAATAGTTAACCTCTGTTTGTGTCTCGTATACCACTCTTTGCCACTCTTTGCACACAGACTCGTATCGGAACCGCTCAGAGAATGACAGATAAGACAATATGAGTCCACACAAGTCATCACCAAATCTGTCGAAAGAGTCTTTAGCTCTTAAATCAAATGTTTGTCTCCTAATTGTGTCACTTCTGAGGAAACGAGTGGTTTGTCTATCCATTTGTGGATCACTTCTTCAACAAAAGTCTATTTCAATGAATGACTGAAACAAATGAACACATGATTTGATGTAAGCGTTGATTGCATTCATAATTACCAAACATTTCAAACCAATCGTCAAATTGTAGTCATTTTTAGCACAAAAACTATAAATAATTTCAAATAATTACAAAATCAAAATCACATTATTTAAACACTTATTTCATACATTATTTTAAATAATTTATTTATAACTTTAAATTAATGTAAATTTTTTAATAAAACCATTTCTCACAACAATGTGTGGAAACGGATGCAAAAAATGCAAATTAATGACAGAAATATATAAAACCTTTACGTTAATAATATGAGAAAATGTGTAAAATTATATTATGAAAAAATGTGTAAAAAGTATTGACTGTTTATTCAGTGAAAGCCTGAATTTAAGTGTGAATTAATGCTATACTTCAACTTGATTGCACCTAGGTCTACATGTGTTTTCAACTCATTGAGTTTATGTAGAGTTTTAGTTGAAAGTCTGAAATGACAGGTTACTAATTATTACAGTTATAATTCATAAATCAATAAATGATAAAAATATTTGCTTTAGATAACAATTAAATTAAAATAACAGTAAAATACTATTAGAATTAACTAATATTTAATAAATAATACCGAATATAATCTCAGAAAATTAATTAAAACTTTAATAATGTTTTGCATAATAATTATGATCACAAAACATCCAAAATTGTTATAAAAATATATTTTCCAAAAAATAGTCATTTATTTTACGAAATGTGATAAATATTTATTATAAATTGTTTTACAGATTAAAGTTTTACAAAAAATATTTGAATTGTTATAAAAACCCTAATTAATGAACATTTGAAACATTTATGAAAAGTTATACCAAATAGAAATATAATGAATTACAATAGACTCGAGATTACAGTCGATTAATAACAGTTGCAAATCAGTTGTAATTGAATTATGAAAACATTAAATATTACAACAATTAAATGATTTCGCAAAAGTCTAATTGAGATAATTTTGGGACACATTTTCAACATTTACTCGACAGTCGTTTGTAGTCTTGTTTAACAATAAGTTTTATATCGACATTGAAAACGATGAGACGAATGATTGTGACATTTGTGTGATCTTAAGATCAAAATGATTATCTCATGTAATATTCAAATTAATTATTTATAAATTATAATATAGAGGTATGTTTGGCAATATGACAAACCTTGTATTTTACCAACCTTAGTGAGAGGGCAGCACTTTATTACTGTATAAATGCATGTCTTTGTCTGTCTTTCTCTATCCCTTTCCGCCCAACACTCAGTCACACATTGAGTCTCATTGTGTTTATGTCTTTGCAATCAATTTTTACCTAAAAATAATAAGTATTTAAATGAAAATATATTTTATGTTTTAAACGGTTTGAGACAAAAGAGATCATAAAATGGCCGCAAATGAAGATTTGGGATCAGTTGTGAGACGACAGAAATCGGTGTCATTAGACAAATGGCCCGTATTTTGTTTGATGAGCGAAAAGTTTGTGCAAAACATCCATTCATTCATTATATACGGAGACACTGGAAGTGATGTGATTGTTGTGACCAAAGAGGATGTGGTCTTTCATATGAATGTCAATAACATCACCAAAACGTTAGAATTGAAGCAATTGAGTGGTAAGGGTATCATTAAAATCACTGCGGGTTCGAAGCACTTGTGTGCCCTCACATCGGCCGGTGATGTCTACGCTTGGGGTGAAAATAATTACTGTCAGGTATTTCACAATAAATATTATATTAGTTTTATTTACTTTTTAATATATGGATATAATTTATATTATGATCACAGTTGGGAACTGGAAATACTAATCCATCGATACATCCCTTGAAAGTGTCCCTCGATTGTAATAATGAAAAGATTGTTGACATTGAATGCGGTTCACTCCACACACTGGCGCTGACCGATGCCGGACATGTCTACACCTGGGGTTATAATTGTGATGGCAATGGCTATGATTATGGTTATGGTAATCAATCGACACCTATTCAAGTGATGGGAGGTCTCGATGGATGTCACGTGACATCCATTGTTTGCGGTGGATATCATTCACTGGCCGTTACGGACACCGGGAGTGTGTTTGGATGGTATGGCAGAGTGTATTGATTTACAATTAGAAACTGATCTTTATTATCATAATAACAGGGGTCACAATGTAAATGGCCAGTTGGGATTGGGAAACACAACAGGCCTATTATTGCCCGTTCAGATTCAATATTTCAATGATATCAAAGTGATCAAGGTCGTTTGCGGGCCAAATCATACGATATTTTTATCTGATAAGGGTAATGTCTATTTGTGTGGACTTAATGGTAATGGTCAATTGGGAACGGGTGATAAGGTCACTATGAGTTCCCCATTCAAATTAAACGCCATCAACCAATATGGGCCTATTGTAGACATTGTCGCTCATATAAGCAACACTATCTCAGCGGCGGTTACTGTCAATGGAGAGCACTTTGTTTGGGGCGACTGTCGGCAACCATTTGGCGATTTGCTTACACCTCAAAGTAATTGTTTAACAATCCTTTAATTATTTAATATTTTCAATTAAAACTTACTTTTAATGCGATTTATACTAATTTTATACCAGTTGTAAACATTGGATCAATTGATGATATCATTGGATTGTATGGCAAAATACACGCGTGTTATCACTCGACGACAATTGGTGGCGAAGAAGTGGATCCAGTGGTTAACAGTCTGTCCAAAGCCTTTGACGATCCGATTACAAGTAGTTTTAAGTTTGTGATCGACGGCCACCCCATACATGTTCACAGAGAGTATTTGATTATACGGTGCGAACGTCTCAACACTCTGTTAGACACCAAATCCAAAGTACTTGAAGTGAGTTTTATAATTAAATTAATTATACTTTATAAAATTATTTCATAAATAACATCACATTTTGTTTTAAAACTATAGCTCAAAGATTATACTTACGATGCGTTCAAAGCATTTCTGCGATATCTCTATACTAACGAAGTGATTGTGGCGCCGGATATTGGGGTCGAGTTATTAGGTTTAGCCGACACTTACGGCGAGACAGACCTGAAGCGGAAGTGTACGCGCGTTATATATAAAGGCATTGCCATTGAAAACGTGGTGACCATATATTTGGCGGCAGTCAAGCACTCGGTGCCCGAACTCCAGGACTTGTGCTTTAATTACGTTATGATTCACTTTAAGGAAGTGTTTAAAACAAATGCTTTCAAACGCATGGATATTGACATTCGTATGGATTTTCTTTGCAGATATACTGTAAATGCGGGCCTTTTATAAAGTGATTGATTTGTTGTTTCATTTATTATTATTATTATATAACTATTATATATCACGCAATCATAAGAGTAAAATGATTATCTGATACGAAAATTCAATTTAATTATGCATATTATGAATAAATATTTAATAGACTTATAATCCATAGAATTGTAATTATCATTAAACAAAAATAATGTTTTAAAAGTGAATAAAAATTGTTTAGCAAATAATGTTTTATGACTTAAAAATACGTGGATATCATCCCTAAATCAAATATAATGAACCACTCGGTATATGATAAGGTTTAGAATTATGGTTGACGTTGCAAAGTGTACATTGGATTAATGTCATTGCAAATCCCTGTTTATAATCCTCATACACAGTTGAGGTCTGTTTATTATATGGCAAACAAATATCAAAATATTTACTAAAAATTTCAATATTTTTGAAAAACACGTTTTATTTTGAAACAAATTATTTTTTGAGACAGAAGTGAACACAATATGGCCACAAATGAAGACATGGGATCAGTTGAGAGACGACATAAAATCAGTTCATTAGACAAATGGAAAGTATTTAGTCTAATGAACGAAGAGTTTGTTTATAACATCCGTTCATTTGTTATATACGGAGATAAAGGCAATGAAGTGATTGTTGTGACCAAAGATGATGTGGTCTTTCATATGAATGTCAGCGAAATCACAAAAATGACAGAAATCAGAGAATTAAAGGCAAAAAGTGTGATGAAAATAGCCGTCGGTAAGAGTCACAGATGTGCCCTCACATCGGCGGGTGATGGCTACGCCTGGGGTGACAATAACTACTGTCAGGTATTCATAGATACACTTTAATTATAATCATATAATATATTTAGTAAATTAATTAAATACATGACTATAGTTGGGCTCCGGGACTACCAGTGCATCGGAAACGCCAATAAAAGTCAATTTTCTCACTAGAAAAGAGGGTCCGATTGTGGACATGGATTGCGGCGATTGCCTCACTATAGCCCTAACCAGTGGCGGACAGGTATACGTTTGGGGCTATAATAAGTACGGCGAGTGCGGCACCGGAAACACCACATCTGTCACAACACCTTATAAAGTGATGGCAGGTCTGAGCGGTTGTCGCGTGTCATCCATTGCCTGCGGTTTCTATCATTGTGTGGCCGTTACGGACGCCGGCCATGTGTTTTCGTGGTAAGAGATTTGATCATTTGATTTGTTTTAATTATAATTATAAATATTTTTATTAATTAAATGCTATTTTGTGAAATACAAGGGGCTATAATAATAAAGGTCAGTTGGGTTTGGGTCACACCACCAGGCAATCATTGCCCGTTCAGATCACATACTTTAATGGCATAAAAGTGAGCAAGGTGGTCACCGGCTATTATCACACAATGATACTGTCATACGAGGGCAGTGTCTATACGTTTGGCATTAATTATGGTCAATTGGGAACCGGCGATACCACTAATCAGTACACACCATACAAACTGGACAGCGCCCAACACCATGGTCCTTTTGTCGACATCGCTACCCATAAGGTTTGCTATATCTCAGCGGCGGTTACCATCACTGACAAGATATTAGTTTGGGGCGACTGTCGTAAACCACTGGGCCTTTTGCTCACCCCTACCGGTGAGTTATGAATTATTTATTAAATTTAATACTCATTTAAAACTAATTTACACTAAAAAAAGTTGTTAACATCGGCTCAATGGGTGACGTGTTTGGATTGTACGCCAAAATACGTGCCAATTATCACTCGATAGCAATCGGTGGCCACGAAGTGGTGGATCCGTTGGTCAACAGTCTGTCCAAAGCCTTTGACGATTCGATAACCTGTAGTTTGCAGTTTGTGGTCGACGGCCACCCCATACATGTCCACAAAGAGTATTTAATAATACGGTGCGAACGGCTTAGACCTTTGTTGGACACCAATAAAACAGTACTTGTAGTGAGTTTAACATTTACTTTATTTTAAAGTTATAAAAATTTATAAATTCAATAAATTATATTACATTTTATTTATAACTACAGATCACAGACTATACATATTCGGCATTCAAAGCATTTCTGCGATATCTGTATACCAACGATGTGTTTGTGGCGCCGGATATTGCGGTCGAGTTATTAGGTTTGGCCGACACTTATGAGGAGACAGACCTGAAGACAAAGTGTACTCGACTTATATGTAAAGCCATTACCATTGAAAACGTAGCCGTAATATATGGGGCGGCAGTTAAACACGGGGTGCCGGCCCTCCAGGATATATGTTTCAAATACTCTGTGACCCGATTCACAGAAGTGTCCAAAACAAGTGCTTTCAATGCTCTGGATATTGAAATTTATAAGGATTTCATTCGTAAGGCATCACTAAAGGGAGCCTTACATTAAATTTACACTTACTTTATGAGAGATTGCAATCTTTATGAATTAGTTTTGTATTTTATTTCTGATTGAAATTTATTAAATATTCACAAAAAAATATTTTATTTAATAAATTAATTTGTGGTATACTTTATGGGTTTAATTGCATTGAAATAATATTTATGATTTAAATTCTGTTATTACGAGAAAACCGATCGACAACTGATTGTCTCAATCGGTCGACGGGTTTAAGCCGTAATCACTGCACCGGCCGTACGGCTGCGGTTTTCGTGACGGCGAACGTGTGGTTAACGGCCGACAGTTGTGTTTCGGCGCTCAATAGGCGCTCGAAGTCGGCCACAGATCGGTAGTGAAGTAATACATACTTCGGGTCGGAGTCGAGTACTTGGCTTTGGCGACGAATGACCGCAAACTGTTGTGTGTTGTCCGTCAACAGTGAGCGGTGTTCACATACAACGTATATACGCTATAAAATTACATAACTTTACAGATACTACTATGTCAAATAGTTTTTCATAATCACGAATAATGTTACCTACATGTTAATGGGATTTCCAAAACTTGTGTTAATATTACCTAAATAGTATTTCTCTCTTAACTAAATTTAAAATAGTTGCCGTCAAACCGGTGGCGCCAGTAGTCGATCGTATGGGTAAAGTAGTCGCCGTAACCGACCCTACCGTTGATCGAGTCGTTGAAAACTGAGTGAAAGTCCAGATATACTTCGGCAATGTTTGCCGCCTTTGTCTAAAAGTGCTGTTCAAACAAATGTAATAGATTAGATTTTGTCAACAAAATAAACTATTTTATATTTGAATGTCAAAACTAGGGTTGGCAATATGACAAACCACGTATTTTACGTACGTAATTTACGTTGTATTTAGCAGTGTATTTTACGTTCACAAATTTTTCATTTTGTAAAATAAGTTATTATAAAAATAATAATCGATTAAAATCAAAAAATCAAAACCAAAATCAATTGTTTTGAGCTATTTTACAAAAACGAATGACAAATATTGATGCAATTTTTGTCGAAAATCAATGATTGAATCAGCAACTCGTATAAAATATAACTTTCTTATAATCGGGTTTTACTGTATACACATCTGATAAGATGTATAAATTTAGAAACAATTAATTTGATTTTAAAATATATAATAATTAATAGTGAATTAGTTTTAAAAGGTTCTACTATGTATAATTAGTGTAAATAATACAATTAAATAGTTTAATTTAAATTTATAAACTATGTTAATTTTTCCCCCATAGTAAGTAAAATTACGTGTATATTACGTGCATTTTTGTATTTTACAACGTAAATTACGTGGCTTCAAAAAAATCATTGTAATTTACCAACCTTAGTCAAAACCCTATCTTTAAGTGCTGTTTCCTTTACGAGTTAGCGATTAAATTGTATGTGATTAACAATGATATCCATAGTTATTATCGCAAACACTGCTCTTAAATTCACTTAATTTTTAGTTTTTATATAAACAATTCTTTGTTGCAAACAAATGGCAACAATTGAAGACTTGGGATCAGTTGAGAGGCGACACAAAATCAGTTCATTAGACAAATGGAAAGTATTTAGTCTAATGAACGAAGAGTTTGTTCATAACATCCGTTCATTCGTTATATACGTAGATAAAGGACATGAAGTGATTGTTGTGACCAAAGATGATGTGGTCTTTCATATGAATGTCAATAATATCACACAAATGACTGAATTGTCTGAATTACGGTCAAAGGGTGTCATCAAAATAGCCGTCGGTAAGAGTCACAGATGTGCCCTCACATCGGCCGGCGATGTGTACGCCTGGGGAGACAATATTTGGAGTCAGGTATTTGAATAAATTATATATAATATGGTAATTAACATAGTGACTATAGTTGGGCACCGGGACTACCAGTCCATCGAAGACACCACTGAAAATCACATTCAATTCATTAAGAAAAACTGAAAACACGATTATAGACATCGATTGCGGTGATTCTCTCACTTTGGCGCTGACCCGTACCGGAAAGCTCTACGCCTGGGGTTATAATAAACATGGTGAACTCGGCACCGGCAACTCTAAGTCAATGTCTACACCTACCAGAGTGTTGGGATGTTTAGATGGGTGTCACGTGACATCCATTGCCTGTGGTATATATCACTCGGTGGCGATTACCAAAAATGGAAATGTTTTTTCGTGGTAAATATTTGACTGTGATTTGTATTAAATTACAATGTTATAGGTCATATTTTAATATATGATTAATAAATTACATTCAAGGGGACATAATTTGTACGGTCAGTTGGGTTTGGATAAGACCGATAACATAAACCTGCCTGTTCAGATACCATATTTTAGTGATATAAAAGTGAGCAAGGTGGTGGCCGGCTATTACCACACTATAATCTTATCAAATGATGGCAGTGTTTACACTTTTGGATATAACCGTGGTCAATTGGGCACTGGTAACACAACAAAACAATTGTCGCCATTCAAGCTGGATAGTGCCAATCACCATGGTCCGTTTGCAGACATCGTTACACATAAGGATAACTATATTTCAGCGGCGATTACCATAACTGGCAAAATATTAGTTTGGGGCGAATGTCGGTATCCATTGGATGTTTTGCTCACACCTACCGGTATTTGTTAAATAATGTAATAATCATTATTAGTTTATACATGATTTATATTTTAATAGTTGTGAACGCCTGCTCTATGGATGATGTCTTTGGTTTGTACGGCAAATCACGTGTCAATTATCACTCAATAACAATCGCTGATCAGGTAAAGAATCCGATGGCCAACAGTCTGTCCCAAGTATTCAACGATCCGATAACCAGTAGTTTCCAGTTTGTGATCGACGGCCACCCCATACATGTCCACAGAGAATATTTGGTTATGCGATGCCAACGACTCAGACCTTTGTTAGACACCGATAGCTCAGTACTTGAGGTGAGTTTATAATTAACTTTATTAAAATTTATATTTAAATTAAAATCACATTTTATAACTACAGATAACAAAATATTCTTATCTGGCATTCAAAGCATTTTTACAATATCTGTATACCAACGATGTGTTTGTGGCGCCGGATATTGCGGTCGAGTTATTAGGTTTGGCCGACACTTACGCCGAGACAGACCTCAAGCGAAAGTGTACTCAACTTATATGCAAACGCATTACCGTTGAAAACGTTGCCCTAATATACGGGGCGGCAGTTAAACACGGGGTGCCGGCCCTCCAGGATATATGTTTCAAATACTCTGTGACCCGATTCACAGAAGTGTCCAAAACAAGTGCTTTCAATGCTCTGGATATTGATACTTACAAGGATTTCATACGTAAGGCATCACTAAAGGGAGCCTTACATTAAATTTACACTTACTTTATGAGATATTACAATATTTATGAATTATTTTTGTATTTTATTTCTGATTGAAATTCATTAAATATTTGCAAAAAAATGTTTCATTTAATAAATCAATTTGTGGTAAACTTTATAAGTTTAATTGCATTGAAATAATATTTATGGTTTGAATTCTGTTATGACGTGAAAACCGGTCGACAAATGATTGCCTCAACCAAAGCCATAATCGGCTGTCAATTACGGCGACAATCAATTGCTGGCCATTAGTGCCAAACCAGAGGCCAAAGAGTCCGCCGATGTATGACATGTACGCCGGGAATGACNAGGCCAAAGAGTCCGCCGATGTATGACATGTACGCCGGGAATGACATAATGGGCTCATCTTTATAGACATACATCGGTTGAGTTGAGTCCCAAACCAAACGCTGTGATGAATACCAGTCCTCCGGTCTGTCGTCGTTATACCAAACCCTTTGAATGTAATCCTTGTTATCGTTGACAACACGCGAGCGATAATCCATTGCCAGACAATCGGGCGGACAATACGACAGACACTTAACCGACACTTTAGGCTAAACAAAGAATATATACAAAATTGGATAATAAATAATTATTATAATTAATCAATTACAATAAATTCATAAAATAAATATTATATACTGTATATAAAGTACACATATTTTTTATCTGCTATTCGTTAAATTTATAAACCTTGTTAATATTTAATTAGCACACTTACCATGTTTATCCTTATGAGCGCCCTTTGCCAATCTTTATTATTCCACTTCCATTTAGACGCACACACGCTGTGAATCAAGTGGTGGTCAAAATCTAATTGGTGTAAAGTGTAGTCCACGTGATATAAACCGCACCAATCGGTGGGCGGTCTCCTACGAGGGCTGTCAGGCCTGACGTAATTCAAGCGACACCTTCTCATACAATGCGAGTGAGAAATCGCACCAAACGGTTGTCCACTGCCTGACCCGTCGGCACCGGTCGACGGGTCTGAGCCGTAGTGACTGCACCGGCCGTACGGCTCGGGTAACAGTTGGCGCGCGGTTTTTGTGACGGCAAACGTATGGTTAACGGCCGACAGTCGCGTTTCGGCGCTCAATAGGCGCTCGAAGTCGGCCACAGATCGGTAGTGAAGTAATACATACTTCGGGTCGGAGTCGAGTACTTGGCTTTGGCGACGAATGACCGCAAACTGCTGTGTATTGTCCGTCAAGAGTGAACGGTGCTTATCATCAACGCGGCTGATGGCCACCGGTTGCAGATCAAACAATATGGTAAACATGAAATGATAACCTGATTTTAAATTATATCCCGCGACTCGTCTCAGCGATCGGATATCAACGCCCGGCCATTGGTCCGCATCGGCGCCGATGGCGATGCGAGTGTGACCGGTGGCGTCGACCTTGCTCAAATTAAACAATTCGCTACCATTAAGCTCTGGATGGCGTCGCGGGTAACGTGAATGTTGTGACATTAAATTAAATGGGTCTTCGCTTAAAATATTTCTATCGTAGACGAGTGTTATGTACGGCAAGTGTGCGTCCATTGAATTGTCCATCACTTTAAATACGGTAATCGTTTTGTACCCAAAATAGTCGACCGAAACGTCGTATAATTGATAGCCAAGTATTGCCGCCATTAGACAGAGAAATGTGCGCTAAATTATATTTCACAATTTGTTATAGGCATTATTAACATTGGAAACTTATACTGTACTGATGAGTACATTGTAGCATAAAATAGGTGTATAAATTAAATTTAAAAATCATTTAAACATTAAGCGCAATAAACAAATTGCATTTTAATTTAATGTCTAACAAGTAAGATTATGATCATGGTCATTTATATTTTAATTTAATTTAAGAATTTTATAAATAAATTACCCGAATATATAGCGGTATTAAAAGCGATGTTCGACCGAATCGATAGCATAGGTGTCGGCGAACGAAGCGTACGATAGAAATGACATTCAATTTGTTTTTCAAATAAACATAAAATGTTTGCAAAATAACGACTATTGTGAGTCCGTGCCATAGACTCAATACATTGATTATATTAATTATTAAATCAATAAATGTTACCTGCGCTATGTAATTGATTTGCAAATAATAGCTATCGGCGAATGAAAAAATAGTCGATGGATCATTTATATTAGTTACATGTAATTCTTGTCTTAATGTCTGATATATTGTTTGCCGACAATCGGCCGGACATTTGTGTTGACAATAATTATGCTTAATATACGACTGATGGGAACGGGCGGGACATTGTTCAACAGAATCTGTCACTATTTTATGGCCTATTGTTAACTGAATGGTCGATAAATCGTTGTCCGCATAACACGGCGTTGTATTTCGGTATTGACTCTCATATAGCAATCGATAGCATCGCTGCAGACAATCGTATTGTGTGTCTCCGGCGGCAGATCTCACACGACATCCACCGCCGGACTCATCGGGTCGTCCGCTATCGTACGGCGCCGGCAGTCGAGAGTTACTTATACCATAATTAAAATGACTTATAAACAATCTAAACGGTGGTTAACGATGTTTTAGAAATATAAGTTTGGTTGACAGCCAATCAAAACCATTGAGAAAGACACTTACTTATTATTTACGTTTTCTCAAAACACTAATCCGATTGGTTTGGCCATCAGTTCCTCGATGTTCACGGAATTCAATCATTTATATTCAAACCAACTGTCGGTTAGTTTTGGTAACTCTTTCTGTGAATGAATAATAAATCGTTTTCTCAAAACACTAATCCGATTGGTTTGGCCATCAGTTCCTCGATGTTCACGGAATTCAATCACATTCTGGCCATCGATTCCTTTAATAAACACTGGTTTCGGCCATACATTGCCCGCGAGAAACGTCTGGCACCGACCGAACGGCGATAGTGTGACCACCGGTTCCCGCACTCGATCGCAGTTGTATTCGTTAAATTTGCATTTAATGTAATTATTAAATTGTTTTACAGCTTTTATTGTTGAGTTTGCTAAACCATATCGCCGGTCACGATCATGGTCAATTTGATCAAACTCTATATTGTTTGAAACGTTAAAATATTTTAGCCAATCATTTAGCAGATTGTTTGGAAAAAACATATTTGACGATTCTTTATCATGATGATCACATTGTTTAAAATAATACCATGCTACTTTATTTGGATATTGAGATCGCGTTGAATCATATGATCGACAATAGATGTTCATCAGATATATGAGATGATTATTAGTTAATATATAGTTTTTAATATAATCACCGGTTTGTTTATTTAGAGCAACGTCTTTAAACGTGTGTTCATAACATAGAGTGACGGCTGGTATGGACTCAAAGGGTATACTATTTGTTGACATGTTTTTTAATTCAATCATTTTAAGTGTCGTTTGTGTGGGAAATGAGAAGTAATTATAAGTTAATGAATATATTTGTGAAACAATGATAGGTATTGTTATGATTGACACAATTCTACGCCAATTATAAGTAAGGTCAGCACTATCGTTAGCTAAGTATGCTAACATATAATTAACTCTTTGTTAATTATTAAAAAGCGATTAATCACTGTCTTTATATGCAAATTACGCTCTCTTATCATTACGTTAGTTTCGTGACGTGTCTATGAAGGCTAACCCAAACCACAGCCCAAACAGACCCCCGATATCTGACATAAATTTAAATATTGGATATTTCTTATCACTTGTATAATGAAATTTTTGATACGATTTGTATTGAATTCTGAGTACACTATCTGTGAGTCCCATAAACTCTGTTTTATCCAACTCTAGGGTGTAGTAAATCTGATGGCAATCCTTAACACAACTATCTCTGCATTTATCGTATGCTTTATTTGATTTGTTAAAAACCACAGAATTATTACAGAATTCATATTCTGTTTGTTTCGCATTTAGGAGAATAAACTTTTCATTCAAATATGGATTTGGAATACATTTGTGTAATTTGTTGAACACTCTGTACATACAATTCCAGTAACATTTGGAATAAGAATCTATTTTATAATATATAATTTTTTAATTTGATGTCTGATAACATAGAAAAAAGATTACCTTCATGTTGTTGACAGTATTGCATATAAGGTGTGGACAATCTATCGACAAATGTGTTGTATATATTAATTCTCGCATTAATGCCAACACTCGGTATCTTAAGTGCCGTCCCTTTTGTTTTTATTAATTCATTAGGCATTTGATCCACGAATACATATAATACCAGATATTCATCAAATGTATTCATTTTTCCATAACTAGTGACAAACTTTTTAAAAGAATTTTTATTATATTTAATATCCAAATGAGTTTCAGTTAAGAGAAAGTTTTGAATTCTTTCATAAGATATGCGAAACTCAACAAAATGTTTATCAATGAGAGAGAAGTGATTAGTATTTTCGTTGTTTGAGAAGTACTTAAAACAAACGCCAAAGTCTTTCGTACCGTAAATACTGTGCAAAACAGTGTTGTTGTCATTAGAGACACATTTATCGGACACTCTGTACTCGTTGTTGTATTTTATGCCCACATTTGCCGAACAGTTAATCAATTCGTTGCCATTAATTGAGAATCTGTTGAATAAATCATTGAACGAATAGTTGGCAAACATTTGCGGCAAATATTTGTCATAAAAATGATTCAAATAATAATTTTCAACAAATGATGGATATTTGCAAACATAAGGATAAGCAAAACCTGAACTCTCAGAATTGCATACCTTTTTAATCATATTTTTAACCATCATTTGTGCCTTTCGTTTCCACGACTCGTATTCATTGCTTAATCCAAATTCATTATTAATCCTTGTTTTATCAAAAAACACATCCCTTTCCGTACAGATAGTAATCTCTGGTAAACGCAATTCATTGCTCGGCTTTACGTTAAAGCTATAGACGTTGGGATAACTGAAGTAATCTGTTGTCAATTCTATGGCCCCATAGGATAGCACACAAAAGCTCAACAATTTGGCTATTAATTTAAGATA